TGAAGAGGGCGCCACCAAATTTTGAGGACACTTTTTTAATTGGCTCAAAGAGAGAAGTGGCCCATCTTGTTATGTACTATCATTGAGTAGTCAAGAGTCGCTCTTCGGTCATTCGCCTACCAGGCCACCACTAGATTTAGATCATCTACTTTCCGAACTGCACACTCTTGGCTGGGTGCACAACAAAATCTAGATCTAGATTCTAGATCTAGATACGTTTATTCATTAAATACTCTCTCTATGGGCTAAAATAAATACATTATAGTAACACTAGATCTAGATCTAGATCTACACACCGCCCGAGATGATCAGTAGGCCTAGCCTTGCATTGTTGTAACCAATGTAAACTACCGCTCGCTCAGCGAGCCAATCACAATCCAACATTTTTGGGGTCCACCTAGACACCATGACTACGTAGACCCCAATCGGGGAGTACGTAGACACTTCCATAATGGAATATCTTAATCAGGCGCGGTTCGTCCGTAGAGCACGGTCGTGCAGTGCCGCCCAAAAGTTTTTATTGTTTTTTTTTTACGTAAAGCACCGTGCAATAATAAAAAAAAGACACCAAAAACAAATACTAGATCTAGTCAAATATTATATCAAAACAAGGTCCTTGCTGGCGCCGGAACTGTCATTTCTGTGTCTTTTGCGCCGTAAAACAAAGCCCACGCGCTTTAACTAAACGTAAAAGGAGTTTCAACAATGGTAACCTGACCTATAAATCGCTCTTTGGGACAACCCAAGCGATGACGACACTCGTAGCGAGTTTGGCGGTACATTAATATTGATAAGTCGGCACATCCCAAATGTGCTCCTGCCGAATAGTGCCGAAACATAGCCCACAATAGGCAGTCTAAAAATAAACGCCTTAGACTGTACACTATTCTATGCCAAAATTATATGAGCCCCGTAGCAATCCAGCAGAGTGCTCAAATGAATTCTGATTGGTTCATTGTCTTGCCACTAGGCTATTTTAAGTGACTCTGTGACCGTGAACCTGAGAGAGGGGAACGTGACATTCTCAAGTCCCATGAGTTGTGTCTTTGAATGGTTTTGTTGTGGAGCGGTGAAAGTTATTACTGGGTACTTGAGTGTTCAGTTCTAATGCAGGATGAACGAAATTGATGTTTAGCTAACACACAGATTTAGCTCTAGAAATCAAAGCGACAAGTAAAAGGAATGAAAATTAAAGTACGAGGTCCTCCCTCACCAACCCAAAGATCCTAAAATTATACGCCATCCAATTTACTATGCCTTTGGCTATCTTCAGCTTGTGATAGCTTAATTAATTAATATTGTGCACGTCCACTTTTTAGCCCCACGAGCCGCCCCTGAACTTAATACAGTACATACTTAATCAACACTGCTATCAGATACTCTAAACTATGGCTGTAAGTTACTGTAAGTGGAAAGGTTCTACGGTAAATTACCTCTTTCCAATAGGCACACAGTCAATTTTAGAGTCGGGAGATCGTCTCTTGTGGGTCCTAAAGTTAACATGTCGTGCAATACTTGTGCTCACAGCAGTTCGTCAGACTAATTCAACAGTGAGATGTCGAGAAACCCCTGCTCTAATAATACATGCATTAATTAAGGTTGCTTAATATGTATTGCTTAGGCAGAATTCACTGTATAGTTTCGTCTTGCAAT